CCGGGTAGATGCCTGTGCCGAGGTATTGCCAGGGGCAGCACCCCTACCGGTGTTGGGTGGGATGCCGGGGGCGGCGCGGGTCCTGGTATGGGAGGGAGGGATGCCGGTGCCCCTCCCAGCAGCGGGGGGGATTCCGGTGCTGGTACCGATGTGGGAGAGGGATGCCGGTGCGGGTGGCGGTCTGGGGGTGGGTGTGCCGGTCCCGGTCCCAGTATGGGAGGGATGCCGGTGCGGGGGCTGAGGTCGCCGGTCCTGCAGGTGCAGGAGATCGTCTTCAGGAACTTCTACACGGCCTTCCTGAGCGTGCGGGTGCAGCGGCCCGGCCACCCCCCGCCGCTGGGTAACCTGCCTGCGGGACTACCGCCTGATGCCCTGCCCGCACACGGAGGAGGGCTCCCAGGACTACTTCTCCCTCCACCGCCACCAGGTCGGCACGGCCGGGACGTCACCCGCACCCCTGGGGCTCACCCCTCTTTGCCCACATCCCACGACGGCTCTTGGTCCCCAGGGCCCTGAGCTGACACCCCACCGTGCCCCCACAGCCTGCCCCCACGGTACCTCCCCTGCCCCTGCCAGCCCCTCTCAGCAGCAAGGCTCCCTGTGCTGGTCCACCCTGTGCCCCCCTCTGCCCAGACAGCCATCGTGAGGTGACATTTCCCTCTGGCTCCTTCTATCAGGAGTGGCTTGGGCTTTTTTTTGGAGGAAATTGCAAAAGCTGCCCCGGAGCAGCGCCAGCTGGCCAGCCCCTGCGGTGATGGCTCCCCCTGCCCTCGCCCCAGCAGATGCTGTGTGATGTGGACCAGGTGACAGCAGTGCGGTTCATCCTGCGGCAGCCCTCCCCGATCTGGCTCCACTTCACCATCGAGGAGCTGCAGATTTTTCCCCCTGGACAGAAGGTGAGCAGGTGCCGGTGCTGCCCTCCCTGCCAGGTGCAGGCAGAGGGTCCAGGACAGGCCACCGTCCCCAGCCCTGCACCTGGCATTGCTCCCCACAGCTCGGGGGGCTTCAGGCTCCCTCCAGAGGACACAGGGGTGTGGGTCTAAGTCCTTTGTCCTTGCTGGGGCACTTGGGGTCCCTTTGTGCGCTGGGAACTGCTCCAGCCAGCCCCAGCCCTGCCCATTTCAGAAGTGGTTGGTTTGCCTGAGCAGCAGCACGGAGCTGGAGGTTGCTGCAACAAATTACAGGATGCAAGAAAACACTTAAAACACAAATTTCCCTTTAATGATGGTAAATTGACACTTATACCCATAGCAATATAAACACGGGTGGGCTCCAAACCTCAGCACGCTCCATAGTATGAGAGATGGAGGTGGGATTGAGGACACCCTTGTGTTACCCTCTGGATCTCTTTCAGAGCCCCCAGAAGGATTTCCCCTCCTGGCTCTCCCAGCTTACCCCTCCAGAGCAGCCAGCCAGCCTGCACAGGGTGAGTGATCCCCACTGAGGTATCGGCGGGAAGGAGGGACCTGCATGGGGTGCTGGCTGTGGGCACAAGCATCCCTTGTGAGGCTGCTGGCCCCATCCCTGCCCAGTTGGCTCCAGACCCCCACCAGGAATAGCTGTGGAGCCCCGAAATAACTCACCTTGTGCTGGAAGTAGTTTGCAGTGTTCGGAAGAAAAATATCTCCACCGGGATGTGCCATTTGAGGTGACAGTCTACCTGCCCTCAAGTCTGGGGACAGGAACGTCCTTGTGGGAGCTGTGGGTGCACAGCGTCGCTCAGCCTGCAGGTGGGACGCATGGGGATGGGGTGGCCTGGCTGGTCCCCGGCACTTGTCAGAGGGTGTGCCCTGGGGAGCACGTTGCCCAGCCAGGGCGGCACGTGGGCAGAAGGAGGTCACAATCACGACACATGTTTACAGCTTGCGAGCCACATCTGCCTGGCCGGCAGCCTTCGGTGAGCTAAGTCCGGGCAGGGGCGGGCAGCTGGATCACCCACGGAAACCTGCTGAATGAGCCACTGGCTGCACCAGGAGTGGTGCCATGCCGCGCAGCACCTCCGGGGCGGTTCTGCCGCTGGTCTTCAGTGCTACGGAGCTTATGCCACATCGGCGGCAAGGAGGCTTCTGCCGGCCCTGGCAGGTCTGGGAGCTCTGGTCCATGCCCAGGTCTCTGGCAGGCTGGGGAGGACACCCTTGCTGACTGCTTGGATCATGTTCCCCTTGGCAAGGGGTGGTCCGGGGGGAGCTGCTGGGGGTTGCTCTGAGCTTGGCTGTTCTCAGCATCACCACAAGGCACCCACCAGCAGTTCGGCGCCATGGGCAGGGCCAGGCAGGGGAGAAGCAGTGCGGAGCTTCGCCCCAGCCTGGATTGCTGCTGCTGAGCCTGTGAGTCACGCCTGGCTAAAGGTCCCTGGGGGAAACGGCACCTGCAGTGGAGTTTCTGTCACCAGGCCCAGGGAGCACCACGGAGGGAGGCTGTTAGGAAACTCTGGACCCTGCGATTAGGTTTTTAATCATTAGCCAGTGATCTGCTTTCTGTCCTCACCCTGGACCCCTGCCAGCAGAGACAGGCTGTGTTGGAACCACAGCATGCAGGGGTCAGGGTCACCCGTTTCCCTAGCTGCCTATTTTCCTAGAGTGGGGCCCTGCTCATCCCACACTGGGAAACCACCATCAGTTTGGGAGTCCAGGCACCATCGTGATAGTGCCCAGCTCCCCAGGTGGCTTAGCCATCTGGCCACACTGCTGCCCCAGCCTGGGGTGATCCAGCCCACTGGGCCATCCTCACCCCACAGCATTGTGCCCACTTCTTTCCAGGAGCTCCCCGACCCGGAGAAGGTGTCAACAGAGGTCCAGCAAATGTGGGTGCTGACAGAGGTGATCCGGGCTCACCAGGCAGCTGCCCGCATCGGGCGCTTCGACGTGAGTCCTGCCACCCTGCTCACGGGGCCTCCATCCTCGCCGCATCGCTGGGGGAGCCCTCTCGGAGGGGCTACTCCCCGCAGGCCGGGGTGGGGGTTTGGGGTGGGTTGTCCTGGCAGAGCGATGGTGCTGTGGAGGGACCAACAGTTGCTCTCGTTTTCCAGGTGGACGGCTGCTACGATATCAACCTGCTTTCCTACACGTGAGCCCTGCCAGTGCTGGCTGGAGGGAGCTGGCTCCTCTCCACTCGCGGGGCCCAAGCAGACTCCTGCAGCCCCGGGGGGCTTCCAGGTCCTCCCCGCGCCCCTTCCCCGGCTCCTCCTGCACTGG